TAAGGTTGTGTTCCTCTGCTCTTCTTGCCATTTATGGTAAAAAATCTGAAGCCAGAGCATCATACATATTTTGTTTCTTGTTTCTCGTCTCCTCCCAAATGTATTTTCATGCAATGAGAGCAGGGGTTAGAAGATAATTAGAAATTTTCTTCTCCCACCGTTAACACTGCCTTTGATTACTTTGTGAAAATGTGTCTGAACATTATTGCTTACTCTGAATACTTTAATATATACTGTTAATGTTGCCTCAGACTTTTCAAAGTTTCATGTGTTTCTGGGGCATTGGTAATGATTTACCTCAGAATGCAGAAAAACTATTATAAAGAAGGCTTCAGGATAAAACCATAATCTCTTCAAGGCAACCATTTCCCTAAGATGCCATTGTTAATGGGTGGGGTGGGGGAAGCAGAGGGAAGATTAGATAGTGATGTAGAAATACCAACATTTGGCATGAAGCCACTAATATTGCCTTGATATCTTGTGGCCTGAAGGGTGAGTGGGACCATGGGAATCACTGAGAGCTTTATATTGACTTCCTCCTGTACTATCTAATTTATGTTGATTCAAAAGTAGGCTTAATTGCAATGGTTGCATTTACTCTTCCTGCACAAGGTAGACAAGCCAACTATATTATCTCCTCTGGTGAAGGTCATAGTTGGTGACAGGTAAATCTCTTGGAAAAGCCTCTCTCCCTGCCCATCTTTTTTTTTGGGGGGGGGGGCCTGGCTAAATTATACATTAAGTGAACTCGCCCTTCATGCTTTTTTTCCCTAAAGATTTTTATTGGGGAGTTGGGGGAGGGGAACAGACAAGTGGCTATCCTTTTTGTTCTTCAGTCTTGTTGTGGAGGACGTCGCTTCACGGGCCAATGTTGGTATTGTGATCATTGCGCTCTTCCTGGGTGAGGCAGATCGCTCACCGGCAATTGGACGGCTGCTCACGGCAGCTCTTGGCAGCTCTCGGGGTTGCCGGCCATTCACATCGGCTGCCAGCCATTCACACTGGCTACCAGCCACTCATGGTAGTACAGCAGCCCACTGCAGCCTCACTGCAGCCTATGCCTTTGCAGGCGACTCTCAGCAGCCCAGCTCCAGGTCGAGCTGTTGTTCACCATCTTAGCTGTAGAGGGCGCAGCATCACTGGCCCATGTGGGATTCGAACTGGGGCCCTGCTGCTCAGAGCTGGTGTCCCAAGCCAACTCCTAACCAACGTGCCACTCAGCCGGCCCCCTTCATGCTTTTCATGGTCTCTCTCACTTGCTGTATCTCTCTTGCCCTAGTCTAGTTGCTAGAGACTTGTGCTCCTAGAATAGACAGCTGGTGAATTCACATACCCTTGTTGATGGCTTTAAGATGCTGATACTCTTGGGAATTCCAAGGGGGCTCCATGCCTAGTATAATGCCTTATCCAAAGGAAACCATCTCAGTGGTGAATTTGGGGCCCTGGGGCAGCTCCATAGAGGAGAAATTGTTTTGAGCAGTTTTGTCACTCAGGTTTTGCCCATTTCATTTATAAACAATGCTGGTCATTGGTATAGGGACAACATCCAAGGGTGTTCTGTCTGGGAACTAACATGAACTTGTTTCATCTGGTGCTGTTTCAGGAGATCCTTAGCCCCTCTCATATGTCACTTTCCCTGAACACCCAACAGTCTCACTGTTGAGGTGTCCCCGGTCTGCCTTCAGGCTATAGCATAGGTACTACTGATGGCATAAGCTTTCACAAGATGGTGGCTTATTGTAGATAAATGTCTAACCCTGGGAACCACCTGTTCAACAGTCTCAGGTTCCGGTCTCTTCTTATTCCACCTGGAGAGGCTTCTCAGGCATGGGCCCAATTCTTTCAGGCCTGGAACTGAGCATTTTCTACTTCAATCCCTGTGTCTTAACTGTTTTGAGTAGAAACCCTATTAGGATGCAGTGTATCCTTTTGTTTGCTCATAATCTTCCTCCTGAGTAAGTCTCCCTTCCCTAAAGAAATTTCACCAGTCGCCTGAGGTCCCATTTGGGTCCTCTTCTTCCATAAAGCCACCCCAGGTCTTTCCTTTGCCAGAAATCAAAGCACTTTTCCCCCAGTGATTTTTTTTGGCAATGAATCAAGCACATGCCTCATGACTTACTCCAATAATCATCTTATGATGAGGGTAATACCCACTTCACTTACTCAGCCTTGCTAATTTTGATGCAGGGCAGACATATCCATCTGCACTGAGTATCTGAAATATTAACTCTATTCTGCATAGAGGCTTTGATTTGAACCGATGTTTTTATCTATTTATCAACAGCGTCAATATGTTTTTCATGAAGGAAATCTGGCTGACCTTCAAAGATGAAGATTACAGACCTCCCTTGGAAGCCAATGATCGTGAATTCACTACAGATTTTTAAAGGTAAAAATGGAAGATAATTAAATGCAGTGTAGTTGTAAACCAGATTTCATTGTGTTCTACATCACTTCATAAAATAAGCATAGTTCCCATTCTTCCATATAACTTTCTTTGTAGCGTTTTACCACAGAATAATGACTCCCTGATAAGTAAGAAATATTTCAACCTAGTTCTTAAAGCACTTACTCTAAGAATAAGATGAAAATGAAACATCCTTGGAGGGTAGGCTGGTTGGATGAAATGGTATGCCATCAGAATACAGCATGCAACATCCCAGGTATCATCAGATGAAACAATGTGTCCATAAATCTGCCAGGGAGGACTTCTTTAGAAAATAAATGTTAGTTAGCCAGAACCAGTAAGTTCAAGTGTGTGGATATAGTTTTGAGTATTGTGATGTTCTCAACCAACCAAACCAGAAATCTACCCATCTGAGCCAATGGTAGCATATCATGTGGCATCTGGAAATTTCTTATTTTTGTGGATCTGACCCCAAAATATGGGTGGAGATAAATGGCAATGCTCAATAGCCCTATTTATATGGCTTATTGACTTACCAAAGAAAACAATAACAGTCAATCATTCATATTAGTCTGGTGGACTAATTCTAAAGTCTGAGAATTTTATTAGAACTACTAAATTTGGGGCTAGGCTGGTAACAATTTCCAAAGGAGAAGCTCTTATGGGGAGAAACTATTATGTTTATTCGTTCTGTTGTTTATATGTTTCACAGTAAAAGTGTCTCACCAGGTTCTGTATTAGGAGGATCAGAACCACCACCTACTGTATAATTTCCTTTTGTGTTTTAAAATATTTGTCAAGTTAAGTCATGGACTCATGGACTCCCTCCGGTCCATGACTTCAAAATGTTTTGTGAGGAGACTTTAGAAAAAATGAATTTCAGTAACATGAGAAAGGAATAGACTGGGATTCTGGAGACCTGGGTTCTCTTTTCTGTTCCAACAGGTTAGTCATTTGTGTTGACAGTGACTTTGACTCACTGAAATGTGATGAGTTTATATTTATGAAGATGAGCAAAGTCCACTGATGTTGTCACCTTTTTAAGTGGATAATTTTGGGCAGAAAGAATATATTTTGTCCTTTGTTAGTTCTTGCTGTCCAGAGAAAAGATCACCCATAAGAACCTCACCTATTGGAGTAGGGTCTCTACTTATACAAATTGTACGGTCCCTTTTCTGGTTGTTGGGTCACAGGTGGCTTGCCATTCTGAGTTTACAAATAAGGCATATTTTGATAAATTAGGTTAAATGTAAGAGAAGTTTCGCTGGCTGAGAACATCAATTCAGCTCTTGGTGGGTGCCAGTCAAAAGTGCTTTTGCAGAAGAAAGCTACAACCAGCTTTGCACCTGCTCCCCAGGGGAGGGACCAGGTATTAGAAGGGCTGCCACAGAAGTGACTCAGCACAACCCTTCATGAGCAGGAAGTGGTTTTGTTTCCTCTATAACAGGGGCATGTTTGTTGCCATCTCAACCATACCTCATAGGAGAAACTGTATGTGAAAGGGCTCAGGGGAGCCCTTCTTAATGGCTAAATACCTGCAATTAGTGCTTAGATTCTATTGAACAAATGCAATGGTGGCAGAGCTGTTCTCCAGATGTCAGAGGGAGCAGAGGAAATGCACAAACATTCCTCATCATTTCACCTACTAGTTTACCCTTTCTTGAGATCACACTGCAGATGAAAAGTAAAATGAGAGAATGAATACAACCAGTCATAATTAAGATGGGGGACTGGCTAAAAATTATGAGATACATCAGACTCTTCCTCATTCACAAGACTTAGAAGAGGCTGGGAGGTCTCCATTTGGAACTGGGAACTGTGAGTGGGGTGTGGTCAACAGAAAAAGAACACTGGAAAGTCATGGGGTAGAAATATGACTGGGAAATTAAGGCAGAAATTTAAAGCTCTAAGGGACCTTGTTTCCCCTCCTACCTGGTTAGTTGTCCTAAGTGGGTTTCCCCTGCAGTTCATAGGCTACTTCAGATCAGATGGCAGAATTACAACTTCAAACCCAATGAGAGAATCACTGAAGTATTTGGGATAGGAAGTTATTTCAAGGAGAAAGTTATTGTGCACAAGCCTTTGTCTTTGAGGGGGGAAGGGTGGTTAACAATGGGACAGGAATCAGTGTGTACACTTCCGTTCCAGTTTCCTTAATCAACACCCTCAGGGCATCTCTGCTTTTTGGGTGGCAAGTGCTGCCCTCTTTTTTGCCTCTTTAATCTTGTCTATATGGCATGTGCCCATGGAAACATCTGTCCTAAAGGGATGGGATTGGGGTTGTATGAGTTTGCTGAAGAGTGTTTTAAAGTAAGGGAGGGGAGACAGAAATGAGTTTTGAAGGTTGGCATCAGTATTGACTTCCAAATAAAATGCTGATCCCACAGGTTCATGTTTCCTAAAATTGAGAGGCCCTGTTTCTGGGACCTCAAACCTTTGAAAAATAATAAAAAAATTACAGAGTGGATGGAAATCACCTCTTACCTTATTTTAAAGTTTCATGTATACTTTAGAGAAGCAATTTTTCTAACCCTGGGCTGTATAATAAGAAAATATTATTCTTTTATGTTTTTGTTTATTATAAACAAGCGAGTTCACTTTAACATTTACTCTTTATTGTGTTGTATGAAGTACCTATGTAATGCAAGTATGTACTGTACTAAAATACCCATATTTCCAAAGAACATTACGTGGTGTAATCCACAGTCTCTGCAGAAGCATCATGAGTAACATGAGCCTTTATACTTTACAATCCATTGTTGGCTGCTGTGAAAAGCGTAACAGATGAAGAAAAAAAGAAAATAAAGCTACGTATGAATACACTTTTCCAAACATACACATACACGGCTTACAATGGAAACAAGTCAATGACAACATTCGATGTAATATCTAAAAAATGTAGACTCTGCAATAAAAAGCCAAAGGCACATAAAAATATATTTTAACTTTAAAAATAACTTAGTTACAGTAATACTTTGCTTGTGTCTTAACCAACATGTAGCTGACAGTCAAAATTTCGCAATATCGATATAAGATATAGGGGTATATAAGAGCTACAAGAAAATCCCCCAAACCCATAAACTTGTTCAAAGGTGAAAACAGAGAAAAGTTTTAACACTGAAGAATTTGCTATGGTGAGCCCAAACAATATAGAAAAGAGTCTAGCAAAAAGGCTTAGGTGTTAAATAAGGTTTGACTTCCTCTTGCTCAGAAAATGCCGGAATATTGCAAAGTTCCTCAATGTGACTTGTGCAGCCCTTTGTAGCGAGTGCCCATTCTGGCTGAGCCAGATTTCTTACATGTCTACAAACAAAAAATGTGAGCTGAACATCAGCCATGCCTGTTGAAATGAGTTCTGACTGACTCACTTCCTCTTTTTGCCAGGACATGGTTGGTCTTTTTTTTTTTTTTTAACTGGTTTTGCACACAGGGCATAACAGGTAAAAAAATATTTTGTAGGAACATAATTTTAGAAAACCCATTACACTGCTGCAAATATAGCCAGTGAAGCTCTTCTCTTCAACTGTGGTTCTTTTTTTTTATTATTTTTATTTTTTTATTAATACCTCTTACCCCCAAAGGAAAATTGCTGGAGACATCTAGTTACTTGTTTTTATCCATGACATTCAGCACCTCATCCAGAAATGAGGGCCCAAGATCAAGCTGCAGAGAGAGGAGGGAGCCCGTGAGATCAGAGAGGGACTCCTCTGATTTAGTCTTTTCCTTGACAAGCTCGCAAGGAATGGGATGCTCAAACATGTCCTCCATCGGCCAGTCCTGGTACTGTTCCGAGAGGCTGGAGGAGTGGCTGCCCCTGCCCTGGCTGGACTGCGACGCGGACCCGCTGGAGCCCCACGAGACGTCGCCCTGGTGGACTGTTCCATTCTCCAACAGACTGCTTTTCTCTGGAGCTTTTTCCTCCATGACGGGCTCACAGCTAAGCCTGGGCAGCTTCGCCGGCCCAAAGGACTCCTGTTTGGAATTAAATGTCACCGGTGACAATAAGGGCAGCATGAGTGCTTGGGACCCTCCGATGGTTGGGAGGGAGATGGCATTTTTGAGCACAGGGGAGGGCGTTTCTGTGAACACAGAGTCGGAGGTACTGTTGGCCCGGAAGAACTCATTATGCCCAGGAAACTGACCCAGGCGTGCTTTCTCCTGGTTTCCAGGTAAAAGCTCATAGTTCCCTTGAAGAAAGGAAATGTCTCCAAAGACGTCGTGCTGGCCCTCTTTGCCGATGTGAATGGTGTGGCGAAAGTCTCCAAGGGGAGGACTGATCATATCCGGAGACAAAATGTCCCTCAGTTTAAATTTCTTTCCTTTCTTGTTATTGGCAGCTTTCAGGTAAATTGGGGTCTTGGCTGGCATTTTGGAATTTGAGAATGTCTCTTCTGCAAAAGGGAAAATGGGCCACTTTTTTTCACAGAGTTTCTATGTTCCTGATAATCCTTTTTGATTGGGACTGTCACACCATTTTTCTCAAGTAGCTTGAGAAGTGGGTCTGAAATGAGATGGTGAGAGACACCTTCCTGAAGTTAGAGCCAAGTGGGCTTTCTGGAGAGCCAGTTACATCTAATCCCTTCCACAACATGGACAGACCTGGAAAAGAAACCAAAGCAGGTTATGATTAGCTGAACCTTCAGAGCTTCCTCAGGCCTGCCTTTTTCACAAGAGCCTGGAAGTAATGGCAAGACCAGTTCCCATCTAAAAGCCAAGCTTTGTTTTGTGGTTTCTCTCCATGAAGTAGGATAAAAGCTTGGTGATCTGCCTCCTGATAGGAAAGCTTTTGTAGGTGGAACCTGTGACTTACTTCTAACCAACAGAACATGGCAAAGGCGATGGTATGTCACACCTTGATTAGCTTACATTATAAAAGATTCCATCTCAACAGGCTGGAGGGGACTTCCGTTACTGGTTTTGAACAAGGAAGCTGCCAAGTTGTGAGAGCCTATTGAGAAGAATTCTGCCAATGACCTGAGGAAAACCGGAAGTGGATCTTTCCCCAGTCGAGCCTCTGATGAGACTGCAGCTCCGACACCTGGTTCACAGCCTGATGAAACCATGGAGATTTTTATTGGGAGCCCTGCTTGTATTCCTGACCCACAGAAACTGTGAGATATTAAATGGGTATTGTTGTAAGCCACTAAGTTAGTGGTAAAGAACACTAACAGCCTCCCTGCACAGGCCACCTGACACAATTAGAAATGATGAGCTACAGGCATGTTTGGGGGCTCTCATTTTGCAGATGAGGAGCTCTTCGTGTCTTGAAAATAACCCTCCAGTTCTTCAGTACATCAGCTGACAAGGAACAGCTACAACCTCTCCCACTGCGGGAATTCCTGCAATGGCTTTGTTTCGACCTCTCCCTGGCCACAGAGCAAATAAATAAATAAATGCTCCGAGGGGTGGGCTTGCAGACATTTGCTTTGTGGCAGTTGGAGGTTGGCTACATTTGCTCCATATTTCCTTCCATTCAGCAAGAGTTTTAAATTCATTTCCCTGCGGTAGGTGGTGAGAACTGTGTTCTAGCACCCACTGGCAAGGTGACAGTGGGCTCTGGTGGGGAAGCCACTGACACCCAGACCCGAGAAGGCAGACAATGATGAGCTGGAGAGACCCACCCTCACTCTGGCTGTGGGCTTGGGGAGGAGGCCAAAGCAGCATGAAGGGTTGGCACCCAGAGTGGGCTAAGCTCGAAGCTGCCAAATAGTACAGGACCCCGCATTCACCTTCTCTCTGGATTTCTCTTTAGTCCCGACAAAGGCACAGGCTCAGCCTCCCCCGAGTGCTGCTGCTGTGGCCGCATGGTGAGGCCACAGGGGTCTGCTTTCCCACCTCAATTTAGAAATGCATGGATCAGTGTTATTAAAAGAGACACTTGATACAAAGCAAGGGAACGGAAAACCCAAAAATAGGAAGACATTCTCTTGCAGTTTACACTCTCATTTGGGTCTTGTAGCAGTAACAAAAGTTTAAACCCCGGGTCTTCCTGCTTCAACATCAGAACTTCCTTCCCCTGTTAAATGCACAGCAGGCGAGGGCCCCTGCCAACCAAGGGTAGCTGGCATTGCCCTCCTGCCCCCCTAGGCACAGCACCAGGACTGCCTGCAAGAGCAGCTGGGCCACCGCCTGCTGTCCCTGAGGGACAGCTGCCCACTGGAGTGGTGTCCTCACACATACAGCCCAGGAAGGCAGCTTCCATGGAAAGATACAATGTTTCCACCAGCACTCCAGGGCATGCTAGGGCTGCCTGTGGTCAGCGGGTGAAGCCAGGGTTATGCAAGGCCAGAAACTCAGGCAGACCATTTCACATTTAGAAAAATAAAAAAAGACCATGCAGTAAAGGCCAGAGTGTGGTTCTCTGCCCCCCTCTAACTGAATCACTCATATTCACCCTTTCCTTGAACAACAGGACGCTGGGGAAGAAAAGTGAGGAGGGATAGGAAACGCTCGCTGGACTCAGAAGGCTCAGGAAGAAACACCCAGTCCTCAGTCCCTGCATGGCCATAGCCACCGCCACAGCCACAGCCTTGGGCACTGCTGGCCTCTTGCCAGAGGCTCGCTCAGCCTGGTAGAAAGTGGGTTTTAGGTCAGCGATGTGGACCCAAAGGTGGCAGGGAAGTGACAAAATACAGAAAAAGAAACTTAAGAAAAGGGTTAGTGAGTGTAGGCTCGATAAGCTGCTGGCAGTGAGGGAGCGGAAAGAACATACCTTAAAAGGCATTTTTCTTTCTTTCTACAAATATTTACATAATATTTACTGCATGACAGGGACGGAGGCTTCTAGGGCTGTGGAAACAATTTATATTGAACTTCTACTATGGCCAGTGCTAAGAGCTCCCAACCACATTGCAAGTTTCTTTGTTTTTTTTAAGGAATTTGGGGCAAAAATGTCAGTTTTACAAGTTTAGGCGAGTTGATGTTTGCGACGTGATGACGTGATGTGAGAGGAATAACAGAGCTCTGAGCCCATCCTTTTATCTTGTCTGTTGGTATCTTTTTCCTCCAGCTCAGGGCCAACCATGCTTGATCCTAGCAGAGACAATCTCATACCGATGATTTCTTACACTGACTGCTTCCTCCCCTCCTTTTTGAATATTCTGGGCTCCCTAGCTACTATCTAGTGGACAGCCATGCCCCATTTCCTTCCCAGGCTGACGGCTCTTTCAGCATCTTCCCTGCTATCTCTCATGCAGAGATCGAAATGGCTATTTCTTCACTGGTAGCAAAGTGCCTGGTGGAGAGGGTATGTGTGTGTCTCCTGGGAATCACCAACACTGAATATGACAGTAAATGTTTATTGAGAGCGTCTCTACGTACTAGGCACTGTTCCAACCTTTGACGTGTACTAGCTCATTCACAAAACCCCATGAGGCGGCTGCTGTTAATATCCCCATTTTACAGATGAGGCACTGAGGCACAGAGTCACTGTGAAAGCCGCAAGGCAAGCAGGCACTAAAGAGTTTGAAGTCTTGACACTTAATGAGCACACTCCCTGGGAGTTCAGTCAGCTCCCAAACTATGAAGGGGATGCACTGCAAAGCCCATTTAAGATACAAATGTATGCTAACGCACTGGGCTGATAAGGGCCGGGAACAGGCCTTGCATGCATACCCTGACGGTATAGGTATAAGAATGAACAGGTCTAGCACAAGGCAGGTTAGCAATGTCTATCAAAACCGCAGATCACATCACATGCCTTTGGCCCTGGAATTCCACTTACAGAGATTTAGCCAACTTACCTATATAGGAATTGTATGTGTACAAGGCTGTCAATCCAGCACAGCTTATAACAGCTTGGAGTTGGAAAGAACCTAATTGTCCCACCGATGGAGGGCTGGTAATATAAGGTGAACCCATACCAAAGAGTATTATGCAGGTCTCACAAAAAGGATGAAGCAGGGCCGGCCGAGTGGCGCAATGGTTAAGAACTGGCTTGGGAAGCCAGAGGGCCCCGGTTCGGATCCCACATGTGAGGGCCAGTGACACTGCCCTCTACAGCTAAAATGCTGAACAACAGCTCAACCTGGAGCTGGGCTGCTGTGAGTCATCAGCGATGGCATAGGCTGCAGCCCCTGTGGCAGTGGGTTGCCATGAGCTACCGTACGTAGCCAGCAGCCAGCGTGAGCGGCCAGCAGCCGCAGTGAGCGGCCGTCCAGAAGCCGG